CTGTGAAGCTAAAACTCTCTTAAAAATAGTCTTTTAAGCAGGGTGCAGTGGCTCATGCCTGTACTTGGGAGGCCGAGGCAGGTGGATTGCCTAAGCTTACAGGTTCAAGATCAGCCTAAGCTAGAGCAAGACTCTATCTCTAAAAATAGCTGGGCACCTCTAGTCCCAGCTACTTGGGAGGCTGAGGCAAAAGAATCACTTAAGCCCAGGAATTTGAGGTTGCTGTGAGCTATGATGCCACAGCAGGGGTGACAAAGTGGGACTCTGTATTGAAAAAATAAATAGGCTCGGCACCTATAGCTCAACCGGCTAAGGCGCCAGCCACGTACACCTAAGGTGGCGGGTTCGAATCCCCAGCCCGGACCGGCCAAACAACAATGACGGCTGCAACCAAAAAATAGCCGGGCGTTGTGGCGGGCACCTGTGGTCCCAGCTACTTGGGAGGCGGAGGCAGGAGACTCGCTTGAGCCCAGGAGTTGGAGGTTGCTGTGAGCTGTGATGCCACGGCACTCTACCCAGGGGGACAGCTTGAGGCTCTGTCTCAAAAAAATAAAATAAAATAAAATAAAGAAAAAATAAATAAGAGAAATAACTGAAAGTTGTTTACAATAAAATGTGTTCCCATCCAGGAGGCTAGGGAATGCAGAAGATAGTTAACTTATGACCAATAAATAATATGTGTATTAACTTGGACTCTGCCTGCTCTACTCCCATAAGTCACTTCATCCTCCTATAATTCCATTTTATAGGTGATACAATTGAGGCCCAGAGGAGGTTTCTGGACAGGCCCAGGGTGGATCAGCATTGGCACCAAGATTTGAAACCACATCCACAGCTCTCACTGTTCTGCTCGCATCAATCCTGATGTAGAAAATGGGAAGCCTAACTGTGGACTCCTGGGGCCCACAGATCTCCCTGGCCCACCCTGGGTCTGTAATTCCCTCACTAGGAGGGAAGGGTTTATGATGCTGGACTTCATCCCACATCCCTGTCTCCCAAGGTTCCTGCCCATGAAAACATGAAGGAGGAAAACTGAGAAATTTGTAGTAGTCACAGGTGACTAAAGAAAAGCAATGTGGGCAATGGAGAATCAGCAGTTATTGTGTTAGTGGGGGCTGACAGAAAACCAGCAAGTACCACTAGGATTTAATGGAGGGGTGAGACACTGGTGGTAGTTAATGGACACCAACAGACATTGAGTTGGTAGTTAATGGGGGTTCTATGAAGAAGGGATACTAGAGGCTACAAAATACAGATGAGAAATGTGAAGATTATGGTTCATTATCAGTCATTATCCTTACATAAGGGGAGGAAGGAAAGTTAACGGCATGTGCCATATTGGGGGACATCACCACATACTATATTAGGGAGTTATAGACACTGCTAGCTGAGTAATGAGAGATAAGTGGTCATCACTGTGATGGACAAAAAATGCAGGGGACCACAAGACGTCCTGCTGAAGGTGAACAAAAGTATCAGGAGAAAATAATGGTTGGAGTAGGTGGGATATGTCCCCCATTCTGAGAGTTGTAATAAGTGTTCATCAGTCACTGGAGTATAGAGGTTACCAGACAGTGCACAAGTAGTATGAAGCAACAGATATGCTGGAGCAAGGTGACTGGAGAAGAGGTAAAGAGATCTCCAGACACTATTTCTCAGAGTTCATCAAAAGGAATGCACATAGAAGTAAGATAAAAGGGGGCAAATGAAGAATGCTCAGACACTGTTCTGGGGTGGGACAAGAAGAGAAAGGGATGATCTCCAGACACGCTCTGGAAGTCAGGTAACATTCTCCAACACTGGGGATAATAGTGGGTCACAAAACCTCCTGAATTGGGGGAATAATTGTGAAGCCACAGATTACTGGATGAGACAAAGGGAGGATAAAGCTGGGTCAACAGACATTGTTCTAAGATGAGGAACCATGTATGGTGGATCATCAGATATTGTAAAGGGATGAGATGAAGGAGAGCTAATGATGGATCAGCAGACATTGAGCTAAGGTGGGGGCGCTTGGTAATAAGATGTATCACCAAGAACTGCTCGATTAGGGGTTGGGGATTAAAGGGGAAGCCTTGGTCCTGCTCTCTTGACTAGGTTATGTCCCTTGGCCTCCATCGCTACCTCCCCATCCTGCTCTTTACAGAGGCGAGACCATCTCTGCACAGCTCAACTATGTCCCACTCCCAGAACTGCCAGCGGACTGGCAGACAACCATTTTGCTGGTATCAAAGGAGCCCAATGCAGCTCAGCATTCACCGGACCAGACCATGTGCCAGCATCTATAAGGACACTGTTGCTTATCTAGAGTTGGACACTCATGGCCAAAGAAGACCCACCTCTTGGCCCCTCCATACTATTGGCTTCAGGCAACTCTCTTTGGGTAGGATGAGCAAGTGTGTAGGTTGGGTTTAGGGAAAGTAGGAACCTGTCAAAGTGTAATTGGGACAGGAAAGAGCTGTACATTTGGAGAAGAGTGAGCAGTGATTTTGCAATCACTTTGGAGCTGTGGGATTTTTGAATCATGGCAGAGAATCCTGAAAGCAAGCATCCACATGGGATTTCTCATACCTCAATTGTCAATTCTTTAAATGGGACGGCATCAGGCTAAAAGGTTTACAACAACTTTTGACCTTTAGGGCCAGGAAGGTACACAGCCCAGGTATAGTCTGGAGGTGAAAAAGCCTGGTGTATTTCAAACAAGTTGGTACTCTCTATTAGGGCATCTTATGCTGCCACAAAGAAAGAGGGAAGTGACATGATGAGCAGGGGTCATTACTCTATATATGCATTTATGGAATGCTTGCTGTATGGCAGACGTGAGTCTAGGCTCAATGTTGAACAGGGAAAAATGTTCTTGTGTGGAAGCCACAGACAAATAAGCAAAATATACAAAGCATCATGGTGGTAATTGCTGTGAAGTATAAAGGAGGAAGGGTGCAGGGCTGGAATTTCAACCCAGTAAGGCGGGGAAAGGCAGAAAAGGCCTGTGAGGAGGTGTCATGGAAAGAAAGACATGAGGGAGCAAGCCACACAAATATAGCAAAGAAGTGCTCTTTGCAGAGGTCACTCAAATGCAAAGGCCCTGAGGCAGGAACTGAATGGACACGTTTGAGACACATGGGGGAAGATGGACATGGAGTAGAAAGTGAACATATGTCAGTGTTGGTTTCATCATGAGTTACTGATTTATTATTCTGAAAGTCATATCATTAAGGAAGGCAAATGAGTTGGAAGAACTGTGACAGTGGAAGAGAGACCTCAGTTGACAGGTGACCTGAAAATCCTTACCTCAGCAGTTTCCCTAAGGGTGGTAGGAATTCACTGGACTTTATGCCGCAGGTCAAAAGACAATGTACTGATGGCCTGGGAGGCTCAGAGACATTACTGGTGGCTTATGGGAATGGCTGTAAGTCATGGTGCTAGATGACAGTGGAAGTCAACAGACTGAGTTTGTGTCAGTATAAGTAATATTTTTATTGCAGTATCTCTTGATAAAAATATTCAGTGGCTCTTTCTTTTTTTTTTTTTTTTTTTTTTGAGACAGAGCCTCAAGCT